TCCAAGCTTTATATCAAGAGTAGGGAGAAATATGTTGGGATCAACGAGTGTAACAAATTTATTTATTTATTTATTTATAATTAATTCCAAGCAGAATCTTTTTGAAGATCGATTCGTCAATATCTCTCTTAACCAATGAGCAAGTAAAATATCTTGTGAAATGCAAACATTTTCTTGTGTGGTATAAAGATGTTCTTGTATACTTATTGGTAAGCGAAGTAAAACCGATGGTTTAACATCGCACAGATTCATGAGTAAAATCATCGCGGAAAACAAAATATTTAACATGCCAGCCATGTAATATGCTGTATTTTCTCCCATTGTTACTCCTGTTTTTGCTGCTTCTCTCAAAATCTTATATGTGTTTCTCTTTTGTAATATCTCAGATCATTCCTATATGAATTTTATTCCACGAGTTCGACTCTATCTTTGTAATGATGTAATATGTAATCAGCAAGCGCAATATCATTTATTCGCAATAATACTTCACTTTTAACGACTTCCGTCGCTCGAGGGAGATTGGGATGACCTTGGACCTCTGTGAACTCTTGGCGATCATTAGAGGCTCTTGGAGCCGCCGCTGCAGCTGGGGCTGGGCGCGGGCGCGGCCCAAGGGGTCATAGGGGAAAGATCAAATGGTATCGGACACCTGAGAGATGTTTTTGTGTGGGAATTTCACGAATCATTTGAAATGTTATTCAGAAACATTTAAAGTTGTAGTAGTCGTGCTTTTATGATAAGTTTAACCCCTTCCTTCAAACATTAGTAGCTTGTCAGATGATGTGATGACGTTTATTATATTGTAGCATCGTCAGTTCTGAAAAGAACTGCACTCATATCATTTCAGAAATAATGCTGGATGACCCCATACTGTGAATGTTTCCCAAAAATATCCATCGAATAACTCGTGCTATTTTTCTAAGAAGATTCTATAATTTGTAGTAAATGCAGGGCAAATCCCACGACGAGCCCGTCGTGTCTGCTGTGAACGGCTTCGATAGGTCTCCCAACCACAGGGAAAATACAGAAACACTTGTCTTCTTTACTGTGAAAATAGCGCTATTTCAAGGCAAGAGAGTAATCAAGTGAGTGGCGACTTCTCCAGTAAAAGAGAATTTGACATTAAAATATTTTTGTGACTGTCCAATTTTCTCCAGTATATACTTGTATATTTGCCTCAAACCATTATTTGCCAAAACTAAATAACATTTACTGAAATTACTTTGTTAATAACAACACAAATGGATTGCAAATATCTAAGAGTTTTTTCCACTGTCAGCTGAATCGACGGGTCCCGAGGTCACAAACCTCTGCTCCGTATTCAACGTCATTCACTCTGCACGCGACAAACGTGTCCTTCGTGATCCATAGACTCCCGTTTATTCTTTGTATTCTGCAGTCAATTGGAGTACAACGGTCACAACGTGCGCCAGACATGTTAATTATCGGCGTTTTGAACTGGCGAACCGTAGATGTCATGGAAACATGTAGAAACGTAGCCATAGAGTAAACTTTTAAACCTTCTGAAAAGCGAAATTTCATTCTTTTTGTGCTGTTAATTATTCATCAAATACCAACATATATAGTATTGCTTGATAATTCTCAATCAATGCCTATATATTCGTCTTAAAAAGTGAAGTGATTAATTGAAATAAAAATAATTAACTAAAATCTTTTAAATATCCAACATTTTTATCATAAATTTGTGGTGCTACAAGAGCGCATACTTTATAACGGTTACGTAATATTATAATGTACTAATTGAATGTACACACTTAGTAGTATAATTTTGTTTCAATTAAAAAGTTAAAACAAAATAACATTTCAGACCTGATATTCTGTGCACTTAGTTCTATACATTCAAACAGCTTACAGAAAAACATTGGTTCCCCTTTTGAAAAATCTAATTTTTAATATTGGCTTTATTTCACCCAAACTTACGCGAATACTTCCCACATTTTGAAGAAAAAAACCACAACAAACTCATTGCGGCGGCGATGGTGTAACGGTTAGCGTACCCAAGTACCTGTTGTACCCAAGTTGGCGTCAAACCCGTTGGTTCAAACCCGATCGAAGCCGTGGATTTTTAAGGGCGAAAAAAATCCTTCGTACGCCTTCCTTCCGGACGGAAGTAAAGCCGGCTGTCCATGTTCTATTACTTCATGTAAAAGAGTCCTCAACCAAACGACCTTCTGTCTAAATTCAAATCGCCTGTTTCTCGCCCAAGAAATACCTCCTTTCTCTCTAGTTGCTGAAAGGAGCAGTAGCAAATTTGCTTGGTCAGACGGAAACGGGCCTGATTGCCCGAGTCTCGCCACGTAAAATAAGGCAAATCAATTCAACTCAATTATCCCAATCAATAGATCGAGATCTTGAAGTAAATTTATAATGAAAATCTCTTTTCTCTTTCTCTCTCTCTGTTCTCTCTCTCTCTGTCTCTCTTCTGCTCTCTCTCTGCTCTCTCTGTCTCTCTTCTGCCTCCTCTCTCTCTCTCTCTCTGTCTCTCTCTCTGTCTTCTCTCTCTGCCCTCTCTCTCTCTTGTCTCTCTCTCTGCCTCTCTCTCTCTGTCTCTCTCTCGCTCTCTCTCTGTCTCTCTCTGTCCTCTCTGTCTCTCTTCTCTGTCTCTCTCTGCTTCTCTCTGTCTCTCTCCTCGTCTGTCTCTCTCTCTGTCTCTCTCTCTGTCTCTTCTCTGTCTCGCTCTCTGTCTCTCTCTCTCGCTGTCTCTCCTCTGCTCTGTCCTCTGTCTCTGTCTCTGATGCAGAAAACAATTAAACGTTTGCAATTTTCGAAAATGTGGATAAATCATCGAAAATTGGACTTATGCCATTTTTATACGCGTAGACTTTTCTCTAAGAAAAAAATAGCATAGACTTTTTTGAGGGAGTTTAGAAATGTGGGACAAAATGTCAAGGCAAAAGAATTTGATAAGTACTTTGGCATAAAACGCCCTGGAAATTTTGTGTTGTGAAACCTGAAAAATCTTTCATGTTAATCGCGTGGTTGGATGCCAGGGTTTCGCCGAGTCGTTGGATGCGCGTGGCGAAGCGTCACTGCGCCTGTGAAGTTTGAGGGAAGACAAAAAGACTACCGAGGGCGTACCGCTCAACCTGGCGCGGCGCTACGCTGTCTTTTGTCATATTCCTGCGGGAGCGAGCCCATTCCGCCTCGTTGCTTGCCCTAGACAAGAGCGAAACTAATGTGCAAAGCTCCTCATCGTCAACATTCTATGAATTTTGAAACTATTTACGTAAGTAACTACTACGTGTATCTTGAGAATTAACGCAAACTTTTGTTTCAAAAATATTGACTCCTTTCCAGTTTTCTTATCAATTTATGTTTCTTATTCCTTATGGTGCTTCACATGAAGTACTAGACTAATTACTGAGAATCAGAAGAAAGAAAGCACGAACGAAACTGGGAAGCAGCATGTTCTTGGTCGTACTTGCGAGGTACAATGGTTCGGATTGCCGTGTTAGGGATGTGAAGTAAGGAATATTTAAGGGATAAGTGGAAAACGCCGTTGGGTGCACCCGTTCCCGCCCGCTTTCCCCGCCCCGTTAGATGGACAACCGCCCGCTCAACGGGGCCTTTCCACGGCCCCACGCGGCCACTTCCTCCACCCGGGGGGAGGGGGGGGGGCAATAGGCGAGTGACTGGCCAGATTGAAGGACGCCGTACTTTTTGTGGAAAAACAACCCGACCGCACGGGGGAGGGCGGGCTCGCGCCCGCCGCCAACCTCGTCGCAACAGGGAAACGAGGACGGCAGGGCACTGGTTTGTCAGTAAATTGCAGAACAATGTCATGTCTGGAGACTTTCGTACTACTATCCGTGTATAAGATTGCAATCAATGCGCTAGGATTAGAAACACGTTACAATGTTTACGCTGTTTCATGTGGAAGCGACGGTTTAAATAAATGAAATCTTTCCTGTGAATATCTACGTTGATCTTTGCCATCCTGGAAGTCTCAAATTAATGTCCCAACTACGTCGGCATTGTTGCTCATGGCCACTCTGTTCCAAATATCAAAGGTATTTTTTCACAAACACTTTTAAGTAATAAGGAACTGTCAACGATAAAATCCTCAAACTAGAAGTTATCTACGTTTTTATTCAGATACATTATTAGGCCATTTTTTTATTACGCAATTCCTATTTTATCGAATTTAAAAGGCCCCTCCCCCTCAGTTATTTTGGACGAAAACGTCAGGTATGTTCTTTGAATATTATACGTTGCAATAATGTTTAAAAACTTGCTAATTCCCTGCAATTTTCAATGTGAGCAGGTACTAAGACTATTGAAGGTAGATTGTGAGAAATAAAGATATCTGCATATTTTAACATTATTTGAAAAATAAAGGACAATGTTTGAAAAATTATTCCGCTTCTTATCCAGATATCCGCGCACTATCCACTTTTCATTGTTTATTGCCAATTTTGGGAAACCGGGCCGGGGGATGTTCGAGAAAATACGGTGTTTCATTTTACGGCTATATTCCTAAGTGGACGTTGGCGACAAAGTGGAGAGAATTGGTTCTTGGCTTTCCGGGACAATGAAACGGTTCTTCAGTTGATGATGAGGAAAACTTAGTGCATTTTCCTGTCTACCATCCTTTCGTGTCGCAAAATGTGAATATCCGTGCTTTACGCATCATTCTTTCCTGCAACACTAGTGCAGAACGTTTTCCCCCTAGTGTCCTTCTTTAGGTGGGCAATTTTACATTCAAAGGTTGTTTTCTGATTCGTTTTATTCGAATGTGGTTTCTTAATGTGTTTTTTTGGATATGCGCGTTATCTTGGGAAATAATTTACGAACTGACATCGGAGTAGATCTTTTTCCTATGAACACAAATTCCGGTTCGAAAAAGGCGCCTCGTGAACGCATCGAAATCTCCGCGGAGCATCTACTATCAGCAAGCACTCGCTGATAATTCCTCCGCGATTTGTGCCAGTGCGGAAGGCGCGGGGGGGAGTGGAGCTGCCAGAGCGCGTGGAGGGGGGATGCAGGAGGGCCGCGGCTGCAATCTCGTATCTCTGCCTTCAGGTAGACCGGTGCCAGGTAGTGTGAAGCCTTGTGAAGTTCGTGGAGGAGGCTGCTTTTCTCCAGGTGCTGCTTGTTTCCTGCCCTCCAGTCCTCTTCATCTCCGGTGTAATTTTCGTCCAGAGTCTTTTGATGTACAGAAACGCGTATGTCCGTAGGTAGGTGCGTTAGAACTTGGCTGCCCAGCCAGCCGACCCTTGTCATTTGCTTGTCCAATTGGACGCGAGTTGTATTTTAGGTACTCTTTAAATAGTAAATAAATAGTCTATTGCCGAACACTGCGAGGGCTAATGATCAAAAGCAATGATGAGGAGAAGCTATTGCCAATGCTATTGTTTCTGTCAATAGCTATGCAATCGGATTGTTACGAATTACCTCGCCTAATTTAACATAAATTGGCCACACATGAATACGAGTATATATAATTGATAAACATTTTCTGTATACATTCAGCTAATAAAATGAAAAAAAATGTGAAACAGATTAAATCAGCCGGTTTGAAACCTTTTAGAACAGAGTCGAAGAAATTAATGGTACCAACACGTTTTCTCGTGTGCTACAAACATTTTTAAATCACATCTACGTTGTCTGAAGGGGGAGAGAGAGAGCGACCCTTGCTGGCCGGGGTTTGCGCTTGTAGTGGCGAGGTTCTCCGCCAGAGATCGCTTGCTGCGCGCGTTCCGCCGCTCGTGCAGGCTCCGAAACGCGCGGCCTTCGGGCTTCGTGGTTCACGGACAAGGCGAAAGTGAATACTGAAGTAAACAATCTTAAGGCATTTTTATGAGCGTATGGTTGCTGTGAGTGGCTGCGAGTCGCGTGTTGTAGTTGTCAAGTGACTGTGCATAATCAGTAATTTGAAAAGCTCCTCATAATCATCTATCACTTGACCCTGTCATTTCCCGACAAGTGCGCACTTGTAATAGGGGCGCGTTATATCAGAGAAGGGCAGACGAAGCAGCTTCGCAAGTGCTGCCTGTGCTTCTAGGTTCGCTGCTCACTCTTTAGGGAGATCTCGCCGCGAGAAGATAGTTGTCCAGGTGACGATGGCGACGTGTGCAGTAAATCGTGTACTTCATGTTGGTGAGTGGGGCACATTAATACAATAATAATAATAATAATAATAATAATAATAATAATAATAATAATAATAATAATAATAATTTGGCTATTTTGTTAAAAAATCCGTAATAATTGCAACTTAAAAAAAAAATATTTTTTTCAGTTCGAGTGGGAAAATCTGCCCAAAAATTATGGGGCGCCAGAAGTATTTGGCACATTTCACACTTACCTGAAACGCATCAAATGCTTCAGAAAACTGTTCGCGATTTTGCCGAAGCAGAATTGAAACCTAATGCAGCCAAATACGACAAAGAAGGGGAATTTCCTATGGAACAAGTAAATAAAAAAATAATAATTAGAATTTTAATAAAATTTCCTTGCATCATGCCAATGGCAATTTACTTTTTTACTTATTATTTTAGATTAAAAAAATGGGAGAATTGGGTCTTCTGAGTATTGATACTCCAGAAGAATATGGTGGAACTGGACTTGATTGTTTAGCCTATTGTATTGCCTTGGAAGAAATTGCAAGAGGTTGTGCTTCTATAGCCACAATGATGAGTGTGCACAGTTCTTTATATTTAAACCCCATTATAAAGTTTGGAAGGGAAGATCAAAAAATTCAGTTTGCTCAACCATTTACCAGTGGTGAGCAGGTTGGATGTTTTGCTCTGACTGAGCCAGGTGAGAGCTAAATAATATTCTTTCTGGATATTTCCTTCACAATTTTGGTTCATTTATTTTAAAAAAATATTTTCCTTCAAAGGAAATGGAAGTGATGCTGGAGCTGCTTCCACAACAGCCACTGCCAAAGGAGATACATATGTATTAAATGGCTCAAAAGCATTTATCTCTAATAGTGCTGAAGGAAGAGGTGTAATTGTTTTTGCCACTACAGATAAGAAGAAGAAACATAAAGGAATCTCTGCTTTCTTGGTTCCCAAACCAATTGATGGTGGGTCAGGTTGAGGTTTTATATACTAGGTTCAAACTAAATGAATATTTTAAATTATTTTTGCCATGTTTTGTAGGTTTGACGGTAGGGAAAAAGGAAGATAAACTAGGAATTCGAGCATCCTCAACTTGCCAGCTTATATTTGAAGACTGTGTAGTCCCCAAGGAAAACATTTTGGGAGAGCCTGGAATGGGCTTTAAAATTGCCATGATTGCCCTTGGTAAGTACATTATGAATACTGCATGCTTCCTAAAATTGTATAAAACAGGTGTGTTTTATAATGTTAAGAAATTGTCTGATGTTAATCACATAATTACACAGGAGTATGTGTAATATGACATCAGCCAACAATATTTTAAGTGTGCATTTTTAATTTTTGTTCCTGTACTTCTGTAGGGTAACAGAACAGGCAGTTTTGTCACATTTTTCTTTTCCTTTCCTCCTTAAGTTTTAGAACCATTATTCTACAGAACATTTACAAATGTTAGCTTTCAAGGAAACTGGTAGAACATATTCACCATTTTTTCTTAAGTTGCTCTGTTTGCACATGTGCCTGACCTTGTTATTCAGTCCTCTGTCATGGGTGACTATGCAAACACATTTCAGAGTATCTATATGCAATACCATCACCATAAATTTCACAGATACATCAGTCTTTGTTTCTGACAATTGTAATTCTGATCAAAGTATCTCATAAACTTATTTTCAAAATACATTTTCTTGGAATCTCTGAAACATTGTAGCTAAAACTTTACCAAAAATTGTTTCATCTTTGTTGAAACAATCTCTTTCTTTATGAAGTGGTGGCAGTGAGTGCTTAACTCTTTTCTTTTTTTATTTCCAAATTATTTAATAGAGAAGAGCATTTCACATACTTTTCTTCAGTAATGGGAAAAATTTGGAATAGAATTCTTAAATTTGTTTTGAAAAAATTGTTTTTATCTCGTGATGAATTCTAAAATGAAACAAATGATAATTATATGGAATACATGTATACATAGTCTTCCCATATAAAGGTGTAGAAAGAGTTCATCTTTTTAAAATAAAGCAAACTTATTGTAAATAAATTTCTGAGGACTTTCATAAATAATGCACCTCTTAGAAAAACGAAGAGTAAACTCATATTGTTACAAGTAATAACTTTCCTTTGGTAAAACATTTAGTTTACCTGTCACATTCCTCACGCCTTGAAATCTCTTGCCCCGCTGACAATTTCAATTTTGGGAGTGGACAGCTGCAGGGGGAAGGTTCAGCGCGGCTGGGGACGGAGTTTCGACACGCCCACAGAGTTGAGCCAAGAAATCCTGGGATTAAAGGAGGTGATTGTGATAACGCGCTTATTCAGTGTAAAAGCCATCCACTCTTTTTTTTTCTTCTTCTTTTTTCGAAGATTAAGTAGTTTCCTTCGCATTGAGGTTGTGTAGAATTTCCAGTGGTGGGTGTTGGTGGTTCTGCTGCAGTGTGTATCCTTATTACACAACACTGTTGTCCAAATAAAGCGGAACTGGTTGGCCTAGCCCTGGCAAAGCACACATATCATTATAGTCTTTTTTTATGTATATTTCCCACATTTCGGTCCATTCGTCTGTACTTGAATTGCATATCACCTAAAAATTGAAATGATTCCCGTAATTGTATCTAAGTGGATTTAACGCTTTCGTCGTAACTTGTAACTGAAGTATTAATGCGACGGTCAGGGTCGCCCGACGCGCCCAAACAAAACGACGACGACGACGACGACGACGACGACGACGACGACTGGCATTTCACGGCCACTTGGCGACTGTGGCGTGACTGTCGCGCGTGCGCGTCACGTCCGAGTTGGATGCGCGCCCTTATTTGATTGCAGAAGAGGTACAGTCGACAGCTGTCTTTCTCCTCGGCACATTTTCGTATCTTTCATAGAACCAACTAATTAGCTTTGGTAATTTTAGCATGACATATGGGACACGAATAGATGAGCAATCAATAGTTATGTCCTTAAATATATTTCAGTAGAAAATGCATAATGAAAGGCGACGATCCGAAGAATACAATGTACTAATTAAAGATAATAAAATTTACATTTAATGCACAAACGTAAGTCCGAGTACAGTGTAAATTTGATCGCTTTTGGAATATCTTAATTGATTGAACCATTAATGCATTCCATTTTGAAATATGAATACGCATTTTATGCGTTTAGCCGAGTTACTAACAAAATATTAGTTCTATAAAGATTCATGCCAATTCAGGAACAGGTGATCGTAATAAGGTCAATGGGACGATTTCGATTTCTCTGTGGAGAACGGAACTCGAGGACAGACGTCCTTGACGCCTGCCGGAAAACTTGCGGTAAGCTGCGCATGACAGGAAGCTTCTCAGAAAACGTAGAAAGCATAGTTTTTTTGCCGTCTCAAATACGTAACTTTATTCCTCTACAACTTGGTGCAAACCACACCTTGATACCTGAAAACACGTAAAGATATTTACTGTGGATAACTTAGACGATCCGCCCTGAATTTGGAACTGGTAGTCTTCTATGTTGCACATCCCTGTAAGTAAGGAATATGAAAATCCTTTTTGTGTGTGGTCATAGTCATAGGCGCATGTGCAACGTGCGCCTGATTCGGGAGGAAGGAATAAGGCAGTGGTATTACGCAACGTGCAAGCGTTTATTATAAATTTGTTAAATTGTAATATTTATCCTGAATTTTTTTACATTAGGAAAGGAAAGTGGATGTTATGTATTATCTAGTGTTAAACTCTTTAATAATTTATTAAAAGTTTTGAATTGGTGATGGCGAATCGAAGGGTTCTCGTAATATTGCAGCTGCATAGTTCTTAACATTACATTACCACCTTAATCATAAAGGTTTCCAACCTTGCTCATGTCAGTGGGCCAAATAGATTCAAGAGTTAAATTGGCTGCTGCGCCATGCCGTATTTCCTGCGACGCAATTGAAAAGCGAGCTTTGTAATCGCTAATGGAAGTCCATAAGTGTCTTGTTATTTTTTTGTTGTAGAGGTTTAGCGCAATGTTTATTACCATCTCACCTACGTTTTTTACTGACTTAATATTTTAATTTACACCAAAACCATCGCCTCCATTAAAAATCTTTCAACTTTCGTTATGTCAATGCGGGGATGTGTCTTCCTAGTTCGAAGTTATGAGGGTTAAAGAACCAACCTATTGGGTTGGAGTGTATGTTAGAGCTGTTTTATTGTAACTTATTTATTATAACTTGTGTAACATTTCATTACTGTCCAATACGATTCAATACCGGTACCAAGTCATAAATCACTCATACGTTCACAATGTGATGTAATTATCATCTTTGTTAATAACTATGTAACGGATTTCCATGTGCTCTAAACACAAACATATAATTTAATATATTTTTACCGATAGAAGATACTTGCACTAAATAATTTTTTTAAAGTTTGTATCATGTTCTCAACGCATTAAAACATCTTATTTTCGTATTAGATATTTTAACCTATTACTACATATTTCTTAAAAGTATAATTACATTTTACATTTGCATATCGAGATGAAAAATTTCAAATATGAGTTTGTAAATAAATATTCTTGAATTGTCTTTTCGTGAAACAAAGCAAAGTAAAACTACGCTCCTAACTTCCGTACCTTTGCCATAAATTGGCAAACTTTCTCTCTGCTTCTCGGTAACCCCGTACTCAGAATAAAAGTATAAATATTTGCTAAGCAGCAGTGCTTGCTCTTATTTCATATAGCCCATTGTATTATCGCGCTTCCCGTCCGCCGCCGAGAAGTATACACGCCCGTGACAGGGACCGCAAACCCCGCCCGCTCGAGCTCCTTGGGAATGCCTACGGAATGTGCAGCGGTCAGACCGCGGCGCTGTTTTCAATCAATTGACTTGGGTACCTCGCGGACACTTGTCGATCGCTGTGGTCGACGAGAGCGCTAGCTCCGGCTCTTCCATCATCGAGAACGAGCGATGGCACCGACAGGAGGCCTTTCATTCGGATGTGCCCTCCGCGGCGGCGGCGGTCTCGAGACAACGCTGCCTTATTTCATCTTTCTTCATCTTCTTCTGCATCTTCTTCTTCATTCTTCTTCTTCATCTTTCTTCTTCATCTTCTTCTTCATCTTCCTTCTTCATCTTCTTCTTCATCTTCTTCTTCTTCTTCAATCTTCTGTCTTCATCGTTCTTCTTCTTCTTCATATCTTCGTTCTTCTCTTCTTCCTTTCATCTTCTTCTTCATCTTCTTCTTCATCTCTTCTTCATCTTCTTCTTCATCTTCTTCTTCATCTTCTTCTTCCATCTTCTTCGTCATCTTCTTCTTCATCTTCTTCTTTCATCTTCTTCGTCATCTTCTTCTTCATCTTCTTCTTCATCTTCTTCTTCATCTTCATCTTCATCTTCATCTTCATCTTCATCTTCATTCTTCATCTTCATTCTTCATCTTCATTCATCTTCATCTTCATCTTCATCTTCATCTTCGTTCTTCATCTTCATCTTCATCTTCTTCTTCATCTTCATCTTCTTCTTCATCTTCATCTCTCTTCATCTTCATCTTCTTCTTCATCATTCATCTTCTTCTTCCATCTTCATCTTCTTCTTCATCTTCATCTTTCTTCTTCATCTTCTTTCATCTTCACTCTTCTTCATCTTCATCTTCATCTTCTTCATCTTCATCTTCATCTTCTTCATCTCTGTCTTCATCTTCATCGGTTCTTCATCATTCTTCTTCATCTTCATCTTCTTCATCTTCTTCTTCATCTTCATCTTCATCTCTTCTTCATCTTCCATCTTCTTCTTCATCTTCATCTTCCTCTTCATCTTACTTCTTCACATCTTCTTCTTCTTCTCATCTTCGTTCTTCATCTTCTTCATCTTCTCTTCTTCTTTCATTCTTCTTCTTCATTCTTCATCTTCCTTCATCTTCCTTCTCCTTCTTCATCTTCTTCTTCTTTCTTCTTTCTTCTTCATCTTCATCTTCTTCTTCTTCTTCTTCTTCATCTTCTTCTTTTCTTCTTCTTCTTGTCTTCTTCATCTTCTTCTTCTTCTTCTTCTTCTTTTTAACCTTCTTCTTCCTTCTTCTTCTTCATCTTCTTCGTCATCTTCATCTTCTTCGTCATCTTCATCTTCTTCGTCATCTTCTTCTTCTTCATCTTCTTCTTCTTCGTCATCTTCTTCTTCTTCGTCATCTTCTTCTTCTTCATCTTCTTCTTCTTCTATTAAATGTCTTTTATTATTATTATTATTATTAAACGTTTATTTACAATTTGTTCATACTTTTGAACAATACATAAATATGTTCGCATACATAATTAACATTGATAGAAGAACAAACTCATTAGTACCTTTCCATTAATTCAGTTGATACGTTCTATATCAACTGTATCACGTATCAAAATGTTATCAAAATCTGGAAGGCAATCCAGAGAATTGATTTTTTGAACATAATTACAACTTTAATTTAATATTGTACGCGCACATTTTTTTGAGCCCCGGAATACCTATCCCCACTTCTATATTGTCATTAGTTGAATTCAAAATAAATGATTGCAAGGAGCGTTTCTGACAAAATCTGAAAAACAGAAATGCTCCCTTTCGTGAAATAAAAACTAAAACGAAAATCAAGCGGAAGTCGTGATACAATAGTTTCTTCAACAAAATAATCAAACTCCCACTCCTGTCGTATCTAGCAAAATGAGGGGCTTAAGAAAACGTGCGTGGATAATGGCTGTTACTGTTTCTTGGGTTGTAGGCAAGGCAGAAGTGTATATTACATACAAGTATAGCACTGGACCCAGTACACCTCCTTGGCGAACGCCAAAACATGATAGGGTAAAAGGAAAATAGTTCGTTATTATGCGTAATTTGGGAGAATCTGTTACGTAGGATTGTAATATGACATAACATTTAATATCTTAAACACGTTATTTATTCCACTTCCAATGGAGGGGGTGAGTGAATTATGAAGGCCTATACAAAATAGTTGTAGGGAATGCTCTTCTACGATGATAACTGAATAAAAACTCTATCTCACTAGGTACGTTGCAATCCATTTATTATAACATTTAAAATAGTTATTATAAATAGATATTCAACGAAACTTTTTAGTAATGTTTACCCCTTAAACCACCAAATACTTAGAGTGAAATTCGTGCATTATATTATTAACGAAAACTTCAAACTCATTTCTCTCGTAACTTCATTTTCTCTTTCTCGCCTACTACAACTTATTGTGAAGCTGAAGCGAAAAGTGGCAGCTTTTTGTCATAAAACTTATATTGTTGGCCCCTGAAAAAGTATATAATTCTTGCTACTATATGCTGTAAATTACTTCTAGTTGGAAAGTCAAAAGCCAAGTTTTGTGTACCGAAAAATTGGTTTACAGCAAATCGTCTGTCTGCTTGTGTGTCTGTGGATAACACTAGCGTCTAAAACGTACATTGTTTCCAGGGGCGTCAATTATTAAGGCTATTAGTCCCGTAGGTGTAGTGCATTCTTCTCCCTGGTAGGTGGCGTGATCTTCCTTCCTAGAGGGTGAGATCTAGCGCCGACCTTCAGGATTTTTCCCTAAAGGTGTCTCCCAGGTTTGAGCAGACGGCCGCTAGAATGCTTCTCTATGACAATATAGACAGTGCTGAAGTCTGTCTAGCTGATGTTGAAAATCCTGCCACCGTCGGGACTAGAACCCTAGGACCTCCCAGTCACCAATTCATGTGGTCGAGCTCGTGGTCTTGCTAATTGAAGTGGATATTCTAATTTTCGAAGATACTTGATATGACATTTCAATTTTTTTCTTGTATAGAGCAAAAAACACTTATAAAAATAGTACAGGTTCCGTTTACGTTGGACTCGCTGTATTTTCGAAAATAGCTGATGATAATTTGATGATTTTTTCCTCAATTAAATGTGTACGTCAAAATGAGGCGTTTAAATAAGGTCATATACAATTCTATTGAAAATGAGTACTTTCGCACAATTTTGCCTGTAGTAAGAGGCAAATTTGAAAGAAAAAAATGCATGATTTCATACACTACATACAAGTTTTTTCTCAAAAACGGCCCCATATTTCTCTTTATTTTCCTCGAATAGAGCAAAGTATGTTTATTGAAAGTGGCACAGGACCCAATTTCGTTGATTTCTGTGTTTTAAAAACTTTATTTGCCCATTTTTGGTGTCTTCCTGTAATTTTAATATTGAAGATAGACTTTTTCATGAAATCTATTCTTCACAATTAAATCTTTAAATAATTGAATGTAAGTTTTTTGAAAAGTGATAAATTTTTGCATAATTTTGAGTGAGCATTCCCAAAAATGCAAAAAAGTATAATCTATTGAAAGAGTACTGCGAAAGAAAGCCAGCGATCGATAATAGATTGATAACAGTTCATTATTAAAATTAATAAAAAATGGAACTTGTTTTCCCCTTTGTAAGCGCTCAGAGTGCTTATCACAAGCAAAACACCAAACCCACAACAAACTGCGCGTAGAACCCTCCCCGTCGATGCAGCGGTTCCGTTTGGTAGGGTACTGCTCCGGCATTAGCCTCGGATTGATCGGAGAAACTACGAACAACTACCGATCAGAGCAGCCAACCTCAAGAATTGTAGCTGAATTTGACTCCTATCTATCAAAATTCGCCACTGCCGAGTCTCAAATGCTATGACCTCCCGTGCCAAGCAGAAACAACGCAAACGAAGTTGCATATGGCCGGCCATAGTTGGCGCGGCTCGAAGGGCCGTGGGTTCCCATACCGTCTCAGCGTGGATGTTTGTGTTTTCCTTACACGTCGTGTTCCGCGTACAGTTCCCCTATGTACGAAAAACCATCAAAGTGGTCGCTTCATGACCTAGTAATTAACAAGCGACCAAAAAAAAAAAAATTACATACAAAATAAATATGAATACAAAATAAAAATAAGATGCATATAGGGTGAGCTTGATTCCAGAATCCCCGTCGCCTTCGACTCCGGCCTTGGGCATGCAGTGAGACTGTTCACTGCTTCTCGTAAACATATTTTATATGTTGTTTAAAACTCGTATTGTTTGGTAAAGATTAGTGTCGAGTTATTAACAGGGCTCGGATTCTCATGGCATGTCATCTTTTCATTGGTGTATTGTAGTCGCTTGTAGTAGTAGCTAACTTGTAAATGATTGTTGTGTCATATAGGTCATAGAAATGTATAGTTATTGGGTCAGTGCCATTTTTCAATTTTTAGGTCTTTTTTGGACCTTTGCATAATTTTTGTAATTTTTATACATTTTTTCCCCTTTCCGTATTGTTTTATTAGTGAATGTTTCATGAATTTACAAACAGTCACTAAAAAATAATACGTTTTTATTGTGTAAGCGCTTCATGACAAAATTCACTACAGCAATGACAGAATTTTTCAAACTCTGAAAATTACATGGAATCTTTGGTAACATCTTCAACCTTTCAAAACCAAAGGTTGGAAGATCGGAGCTAAGGATTAAATTTCCTCCTAAATTGAAAACTTTGTATTAAACATAATTTTATATAAATACATTTTGTTTAAAATTGTAAATTAGATAAGTAAATATTTTCTTACTAATTTTTTAATCCTTTTTTAAAAACGAGGTAATTTTCTCCTTATTTTTAATTTTTTTTAGGTCATTTTCCTCTTATTTTAAGTCTTTTTATAGTTTATTTTCAAAGACTTTTTAGGTCATCAGAATCTGAACCCTGGTTATTATTTACTGTAGAGGTTCAACATTTATTCAGCTGTCCAGTGAAGTGTTCATTCAGAGTCCATTTGAAGGTCTCAACGAACACAAAAGTGTAGAAAATTTGAAAACACTCCTGTGGTGGAAATTTAACTCACGTCCCTGTCATGAATTTCTATTTTACATATTTTCAATTTTTCTTACACATTTTTGAAAGTATAATTATATACAACTATGTATGTAAGTATTTTGTGTTTTTTATTACGTTAAATTCCATTCTCTGCAGTAAAGACAGACTAGGTACCAGCATTGAAATAGGAGTTCAATGCCTTATAATATTCCCTTTTCTACTTGTTTGCTTCTCATGTAGAACTGTGTGGTTTTGCTTAGAACTCTGAAAGTCAATTGCTTAAGCGATCCTTCATCACGAAACACTTGTCCCTGAATGTTGTAAGAGAAAGACTGGATAATATACACGCCTGCCCGCAGTCATCACCAGCGCCTAAATCATTCATACCATTTTCTCCAAAATGTATAAGTGTAGCCCGATTGATGTGAACGAACTCGTGACTCTGCCAACTTAATATTTTTATATTTGGAAGAACTTTACTTAAAAATTAAATTAACTTTACTGCAAATTTAATTTAAATTTTTTTTCAAAATTGCTCCTTTTGTTTTTTGTTTAAAAACGGTAGCATAAAAGGAGCTTAAAAACACAGCATTGGTATCATTTTTGTTAAAATTTCAATTTGTGAAAGTTCAATTTTTTCAGCATCTTCCTTCGATTACATAGTATTGAAAATTAATTAATTAATTAATTAATTAATTTATTTATTTATTTATTTATTTATTTATTTATTTATTTATTTATTTATTTATTTATTTTTATTTTATGTATGGGTGTTCTTTCATTATATCCTAATATCTAAATACTTAATCTTCCCAAATTCTTTTCATCCATTCCCTTATTGAAAAGACTTCATATTCTCTTAAGTTTACATGAATTTTTCTTATGCCAATAGATGGTGGACGCATTGGAATTGCCAGCCAGGCTCTAGGGATTGCTCAGGCTGCTTTGGACTGTGCTGTTGATTACGCTACAAAGAGGAGTGCGTTTGGAGCTCCTATTGTAAAACTTCAAGCAATTCAGGTTCAGTAAAGATATCTGACACATGGTAAATATAACTTGGAAATCAGAAAATGTAACAGTTTTCTATTTTCACAGGCCAAACTTGCCGACATGACAACCAGACTTGAAGGAGCAAGGTTGCTGACATGGAGAGCAGCCATGTTGAAGGATAACAATCTTCCATTCACCAAAGTATGTTCTTTTTATGTATTATGTATGTGACAACCCTTCTTATTTTAGTTCAATTTATGAAGAGAAAACCTGAATAGAGTCATGGATCAAAGGATTGGTGGACAACGTTTCCATAACTGCACTCCTTTGTTTTTAAAGGATTACAAATGTACTTAACTCATTTGTGGCATACTCTCCAGCTTTTCTTCTATGTGACAATCTGGATTTAAGCGAGTCGCATTAGGAAAAGGAATATTTTTTTGAATTTCAGAAAATTTGTTATTCGAGATAGTTTGGGAGGTAAAAGATTTAAGCTGAAGTTTACTTGTAGGGAACCTATGGGCCATTTCATTTGTTGAAATCTTTTGCCAACCTATCATTTGTAATCTTTATAAATCATTTTGCCAACTGATTTTTTTATAATGATTGTGGCCCAAAAATGACAATGAATTGAAAGAAGTTAGTGAAATTACAAAAAGACATGCCAGGAACAAAAACTTATTCTCTTGATAGCCTGTTTTTGATGTAAGTGTTGTTTTATGAAAATTCCAGAGGGCGCAGTCTCTGAGTTACTTTGGAAATGCATTGGACAGTCTTCAGGATGTTTAATGTTAATCGCAAAGGCTGAAGGCTGGAATCTTTTTATGAAATTTGAAATGCATAGCAAAGCATCACTGCACCTTACAAGTAATTTGTTATTGAAGTATGGTGTGTAAATATACATGTCTTTTCACTTATAGTTTTTGTTGTACATGCTTACAAAAATACTCTAGTTTTTTCTGGATATTCAGGAGGATAAAAAAAATAAGTTGTAAAAACTGTATACTTCGTAAACATTCCATTTGATTTGAGTTGATGATTTTGAGTTTCAAATTTCATTCTAAATATCATTTCAATAAATAATCATAGCAAAGTATTGCATCGCACAAAGTAAATAATGCAGTGTATAGCCAATGAATAAGGAGAATTTAGTTTTTTATAACAAAGCCTCATATTAAACATGAAAAGTTAAAAATATTAATGAATTTTGTAAAATGTTAAAAAACTAGAAACATATTTATAACAAAATATCTTGCATTAAAAGAGTGAAATTTGTAGTTTAATTAATGTTCCATCCAGTCTGTCCATTTGGTTTGTCTGAATGACTGCTGTTATAGGGTTATCATTAGGTTCGTTAACTTCTCTGGGTAAAATATTATTAGAGTATTTGTGATAGTCACAATGAAAATAATGTATTTTTGCATCACAATATTTGCTATAAGTTATTGTGAAATGATACAATACTTCCAAAGAGAAATGAGAGAATATCAAGTAGTTAGGATGATAAAACATGTGTTAGTAAAATTATATGTGTATTCCTGTTTTACATATTTTCACCGTTCGATGCCTAGACTTCTACTCCCTTTATCAGAGTTATTACTCCAGGTACTGCCACCAACGTATCTACCAGTCTCCTAAACAACAGGGAGAATCAGCTCGTGGGCCCTCATTGGTCATGAGTCCATCATGCTTAGCTTTGATGTAAAGGAAGGGAGCTAGGCTCTGTCTAATGGCACTGCCATTATGGCTTGTAATTCCTTACACTGCGCATTAGGTGTTATGTCCTCTCAAATAATTTACAGGACTGAGAAGAAATCAAACATAGACTTTAAGGTTGAAGAGTGATGCATGCTAGAAATGAACACAATGTCTTACGTGGAATTGAAGGCCACAACCGAGTGATAAGCTGTTCTTGGGTGCAAGGTGGCATGGGTTGCATGGTGGCAAGTAAACATTCATGCCTGAGGCATTTTTCTAACCTGTGATCCTTCAAACAAATGTCATCTCAGCTACCTACATTGACTCATCTCTTGAAATTATGTCAAATGACTTTTAAATGCAATATTTCCACTCAGAGTGCCTTAAGAATAAAAAAATATGGTAAAATTATGGGATTCTGTATTGGCTGAAAAGGATCACAACTGTAAGAGACATTTCAAAATATAACTTTGAAAGGATAAAGAGTTATGAAACTTTGATGATATGGAACAGAAAATTCCAACAAAACAGTTTTTCCGATGATGTAAATAATTGCAGGGATTCATATTACTTCCTGAACTGTTTGCAGAGGTTTTGTTGAGTTTGATTCTAAGACGGCCCTTTGAAGAACCTAAATTTACACCATCAATGAGGGTAAAGTGTTCAACACAGACTATTACGTTTAAATTGTGAACAAATTGTGAGGTAGCAAAAGTTGAGATGTTATATAATTCTTTCTTGGTGTTAAATTTTAATATTTTCTGTGCCCACAAGTCACTTTGTGATTGCCATAAAAATTTAAAAAAAAAATAAAAAAGTGGCTTGTCTTCTGAAGAAGTAATGATGAAAATACATTCTTTTGTCAGGTGTAGGCTAGAAGATGACCATCTCGATTGCATGAAACAAACTTGTGAAAAATTCTGCCAAATTATGTTGTGGGATAAGATTTCATCAAAAGGCATAAACCATGTACACTTGGAAAATAGGAAGTTTCAGAAGTAGCAATGTACTGAAGTATTGGACAGCTCCATGTTTCAGCTAATAAAGAATGCGTTTTCAGCAAATTAAGATTTTATCACGCTACACAGAACATATTGCCATATTGCAAAAGATTTTCATGACCTTATTCAATGTAAATGACCAGAAATATGATAGAAACTGTCCAGAATCCTAATGAGAATACTTATAAAATATCATGTTAGAAGGAATAGTTGTAGGTGCAACTAAACATTAGCTCATTCATTAAATCTCATTGAATTCATGGTGTAGGGAATTCAAAACCTTATTCACAATGAAGGATGCAAAGATAATGTGACAATAGTATATATACATAGCCAAATATCTATGAGAATCATCTATATTTTTTTCTGTTAAAACCAATATAAAATATTTGTTAATTTCATCAGTAAATTAAATTAAAGGAAAATAAACTAAAGTTCATAATTTGTCAGTGTCCCACTGTAGATACATTTCGATTGTTGTTAAATTCAATGTGCTGTTAGGACATAGTTACCAGAGGAGCTTCAAGAAGTTTGGAGATAAGCTATTTGGCTTATTGTATTCTTTTGTATGGAATTGTTGCTAACTTACTTAAAAAGTGCTCAGGCATATTTGAAAAAATTTTCCTTTTTATTTTGTCAGTAAATGACTTTCTAACATAATTGCCGGATAGAAGAGAAGAGCTTATTAACAATATATAAAGAATTTTCTATTTCTTATATTATTCAATATTAAATTATCCATTTATGATTTATAAAAAATTGTAAAATTTATTGAAGTAAAATTCATTGGTAATGTTCATAATGGTAATGTTCGTATGATCCTACGGTATTTTGATACTTGTACCAATCATGAAACACATATGTCCTCTGACATGAAGGTTAGTGCATTTGACAAAATTACCTCCACAGCATTAATGTAATTTCTACTGGATTTATATAACAAAAGAAAGGCAAGTGTGGAACTAAATTCTTCCATTGAATTAATTTGAGTTATAAGAGTCCATAGATAATAGATTGCGTAAATTGCAAATATTCAATTTGGAAACTGAAAAATGCATAATTGTATATTTTTTGTATGAACATTGCAGTGTTACTGATACTTTTTTCATAATTTAACTCTGATACATGTTCAAGAATATTAGCCATTATCACCTGGTCATCTGCGAATAGTAGACTAAACAATGTTTCATCACCTATTTTCACACCCATGCTTCTGCACATTCTTTTCCATTCTTTTAGGGGTTTATCAATGTATATCTTAAACAAGGTTGGAGGTATACAACAGTCTTGCCGTAATCCTTTATTTACTGGGAAGTTGTCTTATAGACATTTTCCCACTTTTACTTGATTTTTGTTATCTTTATAAAGTCGTTTGACTACCTTTAAGTATGTTGTTGATATTCCTTTTTCTTCCATTGACCCCCATACTTCTTTTACTGTTACATTATCATAAGCCTTTTGAGATCAATGAAAATTATGTGAAGTTCTCTTCCTTTCTCTATTGTTTTTTCCATCAGTTGTTTGAGACAGAAAATATTGTCAATACAGGATCTTCCTGGTCTAAAACCACTTTGCTCTTCTGAGGCTGATGTTTGCATTTCAATTCTATTCTTTAGCACACATCCATACAGTCTAATCAATGATGAAGTCACACTTATCCCTTTATAATTATTACAATCTTTTTTACAGCCTTTTTTGCAAATTGAATTTATATAGCCTAATTTCCATATTTTACCTCCTTTTAAAATGCCATTGAATATTTCAGTAATTAATTCCAAACCTACAAAAGGATAATGTTTAACTAGCTGTACGGATATCCCTCCATTCTCAGGTGCTTTATTATTTTTCATGTTTCTTAACACTTTTTTTACCTCTTCCAAAGTCACATCTGGTGTGATTGAATTTACATGCATGGTTCATAATTTATTCCCTGAAATTTAGTTCTATTTTCCGTCAAAAGATTTTCACAGTATTTTTGCCATTTTTCAATACCAATTGGGTCTACTAAATGCCATTCTTGAGTTGTATTCAATTTCAAGGAATGTAAAATTTTTCATGCCTCTCTGGATTTGGTGTTACAATGCACTTTCTAATCTGTCACATTTTTGTTCCCAGAATACATTTTTTGCCTTCATCACTTCTTTCTTGACCAAATATTTCATTCTGTTGTATTCACTTTTGTCTTCTAAATCCATTGTTGAAGGCCATCTCAAATATAACTTTTTCTTTTCTTCAACCAGGTTCTTTATATCTTGTGACCACCACAAGTTTTTTTCTTTATATTCACATTTTCCCTTCTCTCCCAAAGCTTCTTTAGCTGCTTCATGAGTGCATTTTTCTAAAAATTGATATTTGTCTTCAGTATTTCCTATTGGGATGTACTTTAATTTTTTTGCCTTGTGCAATTTGTACAAAAATGTAATGGAATCATCTTGAAGGCTTTCAATATTGTATCTCGGCCACATCTGACTCTCTTTTTCCACTTTTTGTATTTGGTTTTGTGTTTCCGTAACTTTTGAAGTAAGGTTTATACTCAAAGTAAGCTTTTCCTTTTAGTAAGTAGTGATCTGGTCCACAGGAAGCACCTCTTTGAATCCGAACATCGCTCCACTTTATTGATGACTGTTGTTTAGTGATTATGTAGTCAATTATTGATTGCAGTTTTCCAGTGGTCTGGGTCCATGTGAATTTATGTATTTCTTTATGTGGAAAATAGCCATTCAATATTTTAAGATCATACAGTTCACATGTCTCTATAAGTCTTTCTCCATTGTCATTTAATACATTTTCACCATATCGCCCCACAACATTATGCGCCATTCGTTTTCCAACTCTTCTATTAAAATCACCAAGAAGCACCACTTCTTTGCGATTTCCAATAGAATCCAGAAGCATAGCCAGTTTCTCTAAAAACATCTCTTTTTCTACAACACTTGCATCATCTTTTGGACCATAAATTCCTATAATAAAAACATTGTGTCCTCTTAGTACAAGATCAAGACATACCTTTCTCTCATCAAGTGCTTCCTAGGTATGAATATTTTTCTCCAATCATTTATGTACATCTATGGACACTCCTGCTCTTGCTCGCTTTTCTTTTCTTGCTCCACTAAAAAGGTGAACATAATTTCCTTTCCTTTCATTTCCATTTCCCTTCTTTTTTGTTTCACTCAACACTATGATATCCATGTTAAACTCCTCTATTGCATTAAAAACTTCATTTACTTTAGTGCTTAAATCTTAAATGTTCCAGCATCCAAAATTCATAGACCATTTTCCTTGCCTTTCTCGATGTCGTGAGTTAATCTGAGGCTCATTTCCATTGAGAGTTTGAGCGGCTTTTTATTTTTTCCGAGTATGGGGGAGCTGGCCTCATGCCTCAATCCCCTTCCAGTCAGACCGGTAAATTTTCTTTTAGTGTTTTCTTCCCATAGATTGAGTGTCTATCTTTTATGTTAAAAAAAATTATTTTTTACAGGAAGCTGCAATGGCAAAATTGGCAGCCTCAGAAGCAGCAACATTCTGTGCTCACACCGCAATTCAAGTGCTTGGTGGAATGGGATTCATTGCTGACATGCCAGCTGAACGACACTACAGAGATGCTCGCATCACAGAAATTTATGAAGGAACTTCCGAAATTATGCGACTTGTCATTGCGTTGAATCTTGTAAAGGAATACGGATATTAAAAACAGGATTTTTTTTTCATTATGAAAAACAAATTATCTGAAGTTGTGTTCATGAGAGAGAAAATGAAAGTAATATTGTACTGAATTGAATTTCCATCTATGGATGATATCTTGCTGGTATTATTGTATGCTTAAGGAAAACAAAAAAGAAGTATTCTTAAGACTGCTCAAATTATTTGTCTATCGTGCCTCAAATTTTTATATTGTAAATAGTAATGTAACAAAAAATATTTTTTTAATGTTGTATTAAAGTTTGGGCCGTTTAAACTTGTACAGCAGGTATTTACTTTTATGTTAGTTTTTCCGTATGTGAACTGATTGAGAAAGGTGCCTAAGTAATATAATTAAATGTCACAAATTCTATATACTATCCATAAGTTACTCTATTTTCTAATAGGTCCAAGCTATTTTGATATACGTGTGTTATACTTTTGTATTTTATCATGAGAATTTATTTTTGAATAAAATTACTTGTAAAAGTGTTTATAAACATTTATAATGAAGTTAAGTCCCAATTTTTTAAATTGTGATATTGAACATATTAAATGCATTCCCAAGATTTAAAAAAAAAATTACAAAGTATCATTCTCTATAAAAGTGTTTAAAAAGCAACTATTTAACATTCCAAACAATATTTAATGCTAAGATGTACAATAACACTTTTCTATCATGAAAATGATTCAGAAATAATACATTAGACTGTAACATTTAGGGAACGATTTGCAATTTTAACTGAATATGTGAGTAACGAGGGTTACTTGAGAAAGTATTGTTAAATGTATTAAGCCACTAATTGTTGAGACAGCAAGTATTGAGAAAATTGATGTATTTTTGTATATTAATAAAAGCTATCAATTGATCCCCACCTTTTTTCATTTCAATAGACTATTTGTGTGCAAAATAGAGCAAAGTTCATAAACCATGAAATATTACTGATAGAATTGTTAATAAAACATATACTTAAAATGATAAGTTAACTATCAACCATTTTTGGGAGTATGATGAACAGAAAATCTTAAAATCATTGTGAATAAAATTCCTTTCATGTAAGTGTATTTTTAATATTGTTCCATGTTAGGAAATCCTTTCAAAGAATATTTTTTTGTCTTTTTCTGCAAGCAGCTAGTTACTCTATTGCTTTTTAGGTAACTAAGCATTTCTCGGTTGTTTTTTTAAAATTTCACTTGAACAAGATATGTATTCATTTTTCTCCCTTTAAACCCATCTCTTCTCGGTAGTACTTTTTAAATGAACTGTTCCTCAATTTGTTTGAGCTTAACACAAGTTTAAAGTTTTCATTTCTATGGGATTAAGAAGGGTTCTACATTCTTTTTTCATTATTTTTTCTTGGTATTTTGTATTGATCTACATTTTTCTCTAGAAATAAATGTCTTCTGTAAAAGAGTGATGATTTCTTGTTTTACTCACTGGAATGTGTAGTATGGCTAATAATCAAAATTTTGTCTGAAACTCTGCAGTTAAATTACAAATACATTATTAAACTGAATTGATTATTAAAAATTAGAAGGCAATGAAGAAAGAAAGATTTTAAAATTTTCTGTTCAACAAATTCTTTGTATTGTAATAAAGGCAGATTCCCGTCAAGAAAGGAATGTAAAGAAAATGGTAAAAAACAAGGTAAGTTTTCAGCTTTTTAGCCAAAATAAAAGTTAATCAATTATAAAACACATTAGCCATAAAAAAATTATCACGCTGTCATTATTTATATGAATTGCTCAAATGATTAAATAATCTTCGTGTGTCAGTAATAGTTCTGATAAGGTCGATATCATCTTATGCCAACTTATATTGATGAAATGAACAAGTTACCATTGGTTACCAACGAATCTTCATGATGATTTCGGTGAGTTGCAGTTGGCAGCGTTGGTCACTGATCGGTGTCAGACACTTGATTCGGGTTCTGGTGGGTTGGGTTATTTCATTTTGACGTGGTGGATTTGTTGAGCAAAACTTCTACGTTCCTGGTATTTCAAGGTACAGTTTTCCCTACTACTCGTTACCGACTCCTCTGTGTTGACTCAGTTTTAGCATTTTATGGTCGCCATTGCTTAAAATGACAGGTTATGAGGGCCGGGTGTTACGATGTCATTGCATTTTCTAATTCTAATTTTATTTTAGGAAAAATCGGTGTATAGTGTTCGTAAATTTTTCTCTACAGATAGATTTTCTCCAGTTCTAATGTGTAGATGAGGAAGTTGAGAAACGATATCCTGTTATTTTATCCATCTGATAACTTGTTGCAGTTACAGAATGACAGATTCCAAGTATTTCACCACAACGAAAAAGGGGGAGATCTTCGAATTGAAATCAGAGCTCAATAATGACAAAAAGGAGAAGAAAAGAGAAGCGGTTAAAAAGGTATTGGTCAAAGAATGAATGTGAAACTTTTTATTGGCTTTGAGAATGTGCTGTGCATCTCTTGGTGTGAATTTCAGGTTATTGCATCAATGACTGTTGGTAAAGATGTGTCAGCTCTATTTCCTGATGTTGTGAATTGTATGCAAACTGACAATTTAGAATTGAAGAAGCTTGTTTATTTGTATCTTATGAATTATGCCAAAAGTCAACCAGATATGGCCATAATGGCTGTTAACACATTTGTTAAGGTATGAGAATTTTGTCTTTGTATTCAAATTTGATTTTTTTATTTGGATGTAAATGTAATAATATCATGGTTTTAGGATTGTGAGGATCCCAACCCTCTAATTCGAGCACTTGCTGTTCGTACAATGGGTTGTATTAGGGTGGACAAAATTACCGAATATTTGTGTGAGCCTCTGCGAAAATGCTTAAAAGATGAAGACCCTTATGTCCGCAAAACAGCAGCAGTCTGTGTTGCAAAACTGTATGATATAAATGCTCAGCTTGTGGAAGATCAAGGTTTCCTTGATCAGTTAAAGGAGTTGCTGTCTGATTCCAATCCAATGGTAACTTTTCATTTCAGTGAAATGCTTGACCAGATGTCTCTTGTGCTTCTTCTATGAGAGTATTGTTGTAGGTTGTAGCCAATGCAGTAGCAGCATTATCAGAAATAAATGAAGCTAGTGCAAGTGGTTCCCCATTAATTGAACTCAATGCGCAAACCATCAATAAACTTCTTACTGCCCTCAATGAGTGCACTGAATGGGGTCAAGTTTTCATTCTTGATAGCTTGGCAAACTACAGTCCAAAGGATGACAGGGAAGCCCAGAGGTGAGAATGGGGGGGGTGTGTGTGTAAATTATTCTTAGTTAAATTTATCAATGTTCCTTTTGAAATTATCTATAGTTCAAATATAGGAATAGATAATTTTGAATGTTGAAAATAAAAGTAAATGTTTTTTTGTTACTTAGAAAATATTCTTGTGTATGTCTCATGGTAGTGTTCTTCACCCTGGCTTTAAAATGCATACTAGTATATAAGCTGTGTGACTGAGGTCATTAATCATATGAGAATGTTTAATTTTGTGTCTCCAGCATATGTGAGCGCATCACTCCTCGTTTAGCTCATGCCAATGCAGCAGTTGTTCTGTCAGCTGTAAAGGTGCTGATGAAGTTCATGGAAATGTTGCCAGCAGATTCAGACTTTGTGTCAACACTCACCAAGAAGCTCGCTCCTCCACTTGTGACTCTTCTCTCATCAGAGCCAGAGGTAAACAAATTGATAACAATAGAGACAATGGGGTGGCAATTGTGCTTGAATAATATTGCATAAACAATATTTTTTGTAGGAAGAATCACCTATTGAATTAATCTTCCACTAAATTAATAAATTTATTTGGGCCAGTCCTTGCAGAATAATCAGATGTTTGTCAACTTGATTTTTTTCTGAAATTAAATAGGCACGGGGTTTATTTTAAGCTGACTGCTTGTTGTGGGAGCCTTTTCGCATGAAATTATAAGAGTACTTTCAAGTGGTGTATTTGTGATAAACTTCTTATGCCAATATTTAAAACTAAGATGGTTAATACTTCTTGGTATCTTGGATTTAAAAAACAATATTTTCTAGTAATTGTAAAGATATTGGGCGTTACCTGTCTCCCACTTTTGATTAAAATATACTTGCATATTTACTGGGTGTTCCTTGCTTGTGTGGATTGTTATAAAACTTCCATGCAAGAGAACAGTGAATCCTTGAGAAAGTACAGTCTTAAGAAACAAAGGATGTTTCAATCTGATATTTCCAGTTTTGTTTGGTTAAACAGAACATTTTTGTTAGGTCAGTTTGCTTAAACTGTTATGCGACTGCAAGTGCAAAATATGACTGGTTGGGAGTAGGCAGTAATTAACCTGTAAGCCAGATGGTGTGAGCTGTATAAATTAGTACAAACTGTTAATTTTGAACTTCATCTGGTTAAAATTAGTATTAGACATAGTGTTGGTTATAGTAGGGAAGTGTGAAGTGTCCTGTGTTCATAAGAAACGTTTTGTCTCAAAACTGCATTGAAAATCAATCGAACAGACACAATAATTTTGTGTAAATAACAAAAACCAGAATGTTGTTACCAATTTGGAAGATGTGTAACAAAGTGTTGACTGAATAGGCTAGGTGGTATTATAAACATAAAAGTTTACAGCTGGCATAGTGAAACTCAAAACTACACACCTTGACTTTAACAGGAAACTTTTATACATGTCTTATCCATGATTTATTTTATATTATCTACTATTCCTTGTGACTGTAATGTAAGTTGTGTAACTTTTTATTGACTAATGTCACCTTCATTTATTGGCTAAAGTCCAATGTAAGCTTGAAAGCTGTCCCTACTTTTGACTTTATTCACCAGATTTGGATAATGTAGATATGGGCTTTAATTGGTTAATTTGGGAATTAGCCACATTCAGACTTTGGCTGTAACATATACACCAGAATTTACAGCTTTATAATTTATTTTATTTTCTCTTGCTTTAAATAATTGTTGCTTTATGTGCCTATTGTTAAAATGCATTTTGCTAAAGGAGTTGTAACTTTCTTGAAAAAATTGTTTTTGTTTTGGTACTTTCATTTTTGTGAAAATAATAAAAAACAAACTAGTATTATAATTTTCTAATGTATTTTCTTGTAGGTCCAATATGTTGCTCTCAGGAATATCAATCTTATTGTACAAAAGCGGCCAGATATATTGAAGCATGAAATGAAAGTATTTTTTGTGAAATACAATGATCCAATCTATGTCAAACTGGAAAAATTGGACATCATGATTCGTCTTGCATCTCAGGCTAACATTGCTCAAGTTCTTTCAGAATTGAAAGAGTGAGTATATTTGTTACCAAAAGGTGTAATTTTTAGTAACTTATCCAAGAATTTTAACAAGTTTGTTTTCTTCTAAAAGTTATTTTAAATAAATATATATGAAATATCATTTAAGAGTTTGTTTCATCTGTATATAAAAAATGTAGACTAGGAGTGATTAATGATAATTATGGAAGGTGAAGTTGATAACGCATTATTTGTGTGAACTTTTTTTTGGTGCTGATTTGTATGGAAAAATTAATTTTAGGTACATACTTATTATAAACCCCACTTCACGCTTTCATAGAGGAAAAAAAAAATTGTGTGCTATAGTTGTAGGTAATTAGCTTCCCCGTTCAAGTAATTATTTCCTCGGTTGTTTATTCATAATGGTTTTGTATGATTTGTTCAAACAGTTATTAATAATGTAATGATATTGTAATTTTCCTTTCTCAGGTACGCTACTGAAGTTGATGTGGACTTTGTTCGAAAAGCTGTAAGGGCAATCGGCCGATGTGCCATAAAAGTTGAGCAGTCTGCAGAGCGGTGTGTCTCCACTCTCCTGGATCTTATTCAAACAAAGGTCAATGTTTTATCTATGTCTATATTTATGCAGAATTTAGCAGGTTTATGATTAGAAATTAAACTTCCTGATAATTATTTTGTATTTTAATATTTAGGTGAACTACGTTGTTCAAGAGGCTATTGTTGTGATCAAAGATATTTTTAGAAAGTATCCCAACAAATATGAAAGTATAATTTCCACACTTTGTGAGAATCTGGACACTTTGGATGAACCTGAAGCCAGGTAAAGTCATTACTAGTTGATAAACTTGGTGGAACTAACCTAATTATGTTAATGCACTTTTTTTTTTTTTGGATTGGTGTAAACGTGAATGCACTTTACATTAACATTATCTTAAAGATCAGTATTATTAATTCTCAGGTTGCATATATTTATATCAACAAGTTTCCATTGTAATTTGTAAAATTCTGCAAACCAGTCTGACGTTTTAGTGATTGATAAAATTGTAAATAATTTCTGATATTTTTCACTGAGCTTCCCGATCAGCTAGGTTTCTAGGATTAGATTACTCATTTCTTTGTACAGTAAAATCTGTCTAATCCGAAATCATTCGGGTCCAATATTTTCTTCTATATTGCAGAGATTTCTGGCTTATTCAGGTATGCAACTGAAATCGGATGGAATAGATGGTATGAGTAGTTTGTCACACAAAATCTACATTTGAAAGAAACTAAGAGGTTCTGGGAGAGACAAAGAAAATGACACAGGATTGCAAACGAAGTCTAATGAAACATAGAACTCCATCAAAAGTTAAAGAAATATTATTGTCTTGAGTATTTGTAGGAACAAATGAATTCATCTGATTTAGGGTTGGGCTATTTGCCTAGGTATTGATGAATATTGTAGCAACCACTTTTAAACAAATTCTTTTAACCATTCTTGATTTTGTCTTTGTTTTTTTTAAGGTCTTCTACACCTTAAAAACTTTTCTTTTCCAACTTTAAATTTTTTTATCAAAACCTTCACATAATTGATTTTTTGTTAGTGATCTTCAATTAGTCTAATGTTTGCATGAAGAAGTAATGTTTTCAATTTGCCACCTAACAACATAAACCCTTGATTTTGTTGAACTCTTTTTGAACACCCGCAACTCTTTGCACTAAACAAAGTAAACCTTTTGGACTACTGAACCTCCATGTATTACAAGAACTGTCAAAGGAGCACTCTTCGCAACTTCCCTTCCTTCACTTGGCATTAACACATGTAGCATGGAAAAGATGTTCTGATGAGGGTAGCTGAGAAATGGATGAGCATGGCTCTGAAGGTCTCATGGTTGTTACACTTACAAGCCATTATTAAATTCAAAGTTTATTCAAAGTAATATACAAAATAAATACAAGTGAATATACAAAATATACATATAATTTTGAGTCTCACTGAGGACAGTCCTGTGCATGAGGCCTGATAGCACAGAATCCTCTTTTTGCATAAAACACACTAATTTGAAAACAATATTTGTTTTCAGTGTTATTTAAAACTTTCAATTCTTTGGTGCTAAATATTCCTTTCCATTGTCATGTTCGACAGGTTTCTGGCTTTTCCCGTGTACTTTGCACCAGAAAATAGTCCCATCTGAGATATTTGTCCAGTGAATGCAGGTTTCCACCTTATCCTGATTCTGCCTATGTTTTATTGTAAATGCAGTGGAAAGAAAGGGAATTATGTTTATGAATGCTGAAAGAAATAACAGTATTTCAAGCAATGAAGAAATAGTCCCATGGGGCAAAGCCACAAGGCTTAAGTCAGATTGGGAAAGTTTGGGGCCCATAAAGTCAGACCTTATTGTCTGGGAAGTAAAATGGTTTAACTTCACACATTTCTTAAATACACACTGACGTTGGTGCAGGGTGTTTTCTTGCATGTCAAATATCTCTATGCCTGCCAAAATAATCATATGTGAATTACTTGTTAATACATGTTTTAAGATGTAATGTATATCTTTTTCTCAATTTTAGATCTTTTAGCCTAAATTGAAAACGGTTCATTTACTGACATTATCTATTTTTGAATAAATACTTTTTAACAGAAGAATTTAAATTGTTTGTAATATTTGCAATGTTTTTGCAGAGCTTCTATGATCTGGATAATTGGTGAATATGCTGAACGAATTGATAATGCTGATGAACTTCTTGAGAGTTTCTTAGAAGGCTTTCACGATGAAAACACACAAGTTCAATTGCAACTTCTCACTGCAATTGTGAAACTTTTCTTGAAGCGACCAACTGATACTCAAGAACTTGTTCAACAGGTGATAGATGAATAAAATCAGAAAGTGTTCATATTTGTTCTTTTCCATTCATCACCTTTTCACAGTTGTCTTTCTGCTTTTTTCCCCCTAATTTTTGAGGCATCGTTTAAAAAAAGAATTTAAAGAAATGTTAAAGAAATTTATTGAATTTGTTGAGTGATTGTTCTATTAGCATTTGAAGGGTCTTCTTATTGTATTAGAAGCTTATTGTATTGTTACATTGCTTGATAAAGTGCATATTATTTTTGAACATTTTCTTTATTAACAAATTTGATTGAAAATGAGAAAATTTTTCATAAATAAAATAATTAATGAATGTTATCACATTATTAGAAACTTCTGATGACAAGACATCCAGATACACATTGCTTAATATTGCATGTCCAAGTATTTAGAAAATAATTATTTAATTAAACTTGTCAGAATATTAGTTGAAAATTTTTCACAAATGTTATAATTCAACACATGATGATAACCAAGTAAAGTGGTTAATGTTCATAAAAATGTTAATTTTAATGTTTATTCAAATGGAACAGTAAAAAAAAAAGGAAGTTGTAAAAATGCTCGCCTTCTCATTCCAATAAAACTTGAGCTATTTACTGTCATTATGAGATTCTGGCAAGGTGATCAGTCATTATGAGATTCTGGCAAGGTGATCAGTCATTATGAGATTCTGGCAAGGTGATCAGCTACCCTTCATTCTTTTATATTTGTTTTTGTGTTGATGTAAATATCAATTGCATTACAAGAAATACTTAAAAAATTCTTTAATTATTAGGTGTTGAGTTTAGCTACTCAGGATTCTGATAATCCTGATTTACGTGATCGAGGTTTCATCTATTGGAGATTATTGTCCACGGATCCAGCTGCTGCCAAGGAAGTGGTATTAGCAGAGAAGCCACTGATCTCTGAAGAAACAGATTTGTTGGAGCCAACATTGCTTGATGAACTGATTTGCCACATTTCTAGTTTGGCCTCTGTGTACCACAAGCCCCCCAACGCTTTTGTGGAAGGCCGTGGTGCAGGAGTGCGGAAGATGTTGCCAGCTAGGTTAGTATTTTAATGAATGCTGTTCATAAAACTAAGCTTGTGAGTAATAGAACCGAAGTATTAGTCCCCTCCTTTTTTTATCAGCATTTTAAATTGTAACATTCTTCATTTCTTTTAATGCAGCATTTTTGATTTCTAATTGAGGTACACATTTCTTCAGTTACATCTATGCAAGTCAGTTGAGGATGCAATGTGTTAATTTTAGGTTAAATAATTTCTATTCACGCAAATAATCTTGTTATAGAAAAATCAACTCTACTTACTATTTAATTAGCATAAACTTTAATAATTTTTGAAAATATATGCAAACCTAATGGTACATTTTTATTCTATGCCTTTCAAAAATTTAAAAAAACTGTTCACAAAGTTTGATCTTTAGTCAAAGTAGTGATCTTTGATCAAAGTTTGAATATTTAAAAACCATGAACAAATTTGAAAAATAGGAGATATATTTTAACACTTCCCATCAGATTCCTGGTATAAACAATTTAAGGAAATACTAATTTTGATGATGATAGGTTAAATTTTGTAAGATTAAACTTGTCAAATCTTATAAAATGTGAAAAGTAATTTTGCTGAACTTCAATTAAAATTACATTTTCTCAAACTTTCATGGACTCTTTTCTAAAACAATTTTTGGTCCATCAATTTTTTCTTTCCAAAGCATGGAAAAATATTTTTGGCACTTCAATAAAGAGTACCTCGTAAGTATAAGAAAAAAGATTTTGCTAAGCTTTGGAAGGGACCTGGAATCTTTACACATGATTGTATTAGATACTCTCTTAGTTTATCATGCTAACTAAAGAGCGTAACCCTTGCACAAGAGTAAAAGTTATTGAACTCTGTGATGAAATGACGTAACGCTGGGATTTAAATATTATCTGTTTAAATTATAAAGGCATTTTCATTTTAATAAATATCTATATTACTAATTTCCAATGCTTGGAGAAATTGATAGAAAACCATGCACCCCTTGGTCAGGTGAGAGGGGTCTACAGTTTTGTTGCTTACCTAGGAACTGGGGGGAAAACCAAAACAATGAAATGGTTTCAATTTTGACTGCGGGTTATGAAAGAGCAACTTGTTTTATTTGACATTTTTGTGTTAAAATATTTGCTTTCGTGTAGTGTTATACAATAGGATTTTATTGTGTGATACTACTTTTTAGAAAACCATTTTGTGTGGTTATGTTTACGAAGCTGATGCAGGGCAGTTGTATTCTTTTAAATGTAAATCAACTTCCATCAAAATCTCCAGAATGTTAGGCCTCTCACCTCTCACAACAGTGAACCTTTTGTGTCTGACTGAATCTGTATAAACTCGTTACTGTTTGGATAGTAGACTAATGGTTTATTTATACTGTTAAGGTGTTGTAACTACTAATTCTGATAAACTTTTCTCTCTTCTACAGAATTTTTTGTGTTATGTTATATAATTTTTTTTTTTTTACTTTTTCTCTATGTACTGTAGTATGGGAAGGAAACGTATTGGAATCATCTCAGCAGTAAAACCGTCAATATTAGTTGTAAAACTCTGTTTAAAATTCTGTTCAGCCATAAGTTCCCACACAAGTCTGGATTATAGTGTGTTATTGCCGTTCCAATGATGGGTGCAGATGGGGAGGAGATGCATGCAATTTTGTACCTGGAAATTGATGCAATGCACCTCCCAGCCTCTGGGGGGGGGGGGGAATTTTGCTCTGGAGTAATCCTCCATGAACATTATCTGTCTTTGTCACGTCATGTCTTGTCGCAGTTGTTAAGAGGACCGCTAGATAGCATCTCAGCATATGTGCCTCCTACACTACAGGCTCCTATGTCCCTACCCAGCGGCCTGAATTGGAAAGGAATTAGGATAGGGGTAGGGTTAGGCCACTTCACTGGAGTTGGACTAGTTTTGTGAGAACAAATTTCACATGAGATTGTTCAGGAATTGAACCCAGACCACCTTGGTGAAAGGCAAGCGACTTCGCTCTGAGCCACCAAGCCAGAAATCATTAAGACCTTTCAAGTTTTGGGGTACTTTACATGAAGTCCATGTGACTGTTTCGACCTTTTCTGGAAAACAGCTGTAAATTTTTTCTTAATTTTTAACTTATTTAGAGGAAATTGAATTTATATGTTGGAATAGTTCTGTTTTTCATTAAAACCTCTGACATTTAGAAAATTGCAAAAATTTAATATCTAAAACAGTTTTCGTTTAGAAAAAAGTTTGAGCATTCCACTAAACCAAATTTCATGTCTGTTGCTTTCAAAGAAAGGTAGTGAGCTCCAGATGTTTTATTGCTTGCTGTTATGAACCAGTTTTATAGTATAAAACGTAATTTTAATAAAATCATAAAATGAATAGAATGAATGCTTGTCTGTTGTCATTTGTTCACGTTTTCATTGTAAGAGTTGTAATTGATCTATTGAAAGCCTTCAGCATTTCTTCCTCTATGAAACAAGCGAGTTAAAGGTTGTTGTTGTTTGAGAAGCTCCAGTGAGTTTTCTTTGTTTGTGAGTTTGTAGAGTACTTTTAAGTACAAAGATTTGTGAATGTATGCATATGCAATGTCTAGCAATCTGCTGACATGAAAGTCCTTTTACAAAAGCAACGAATAAACAAACAAACTTGGTTGTGATAATATGGTGCATTATGTTTCTTAGGTATGGTGACAGCAGGATTTCTTTGTCACATTTTCCTACACCCCACATATACAGATGTTGGTGAAAAAAACAATTATACTGCTTTTTATTTCTCAGTTAATTTTTCTTTCTGAACAAATGTTCATTTCTTTTGTAAATAGTAAACAATTTACATGTTTCTGGAGTGTTTCTATGCTTTTGCAATGCAAATTTTTGCCTAGAAAGTGTTTTTTCAATCCAACATTTGAGTTATTGTGGCCCAGCCATTCAGAATATCCAAGTAGTTTATTAGAGACAATATGCATAAGAACTTATTTTCCAATTTTCGACATTTCCTCCCCAGTAGCCCTGTATTGTTTAATGATCTCAGTGTTAAAAGCCTATACTTTGATTTAAACATAGTGGCTGTCCAAGGTCATGAGCTGGACAGAGAGCGGAACACATTCATCCATACGGGATCTTTGTTACAAGTTAATTTTTTGGTATTTGAGCTCCCAACTGGATGACAATATATCTCTCCCCTTCCAGCTTGTGATCTTGAAGTGCCACTATATTTAAATTGGAGTATAGCGCTATTTCTATTGTGTCTGCCTTGATTTTGTATACAAATATTACTGTTCAGTTAAATTGTTGATTAAAAGGTATACATTTGTAGTTTGATTTTGATTAATAGGAATTTATTAGAATAGTAAGTCTGAAAAGAGAACATGAAAATGTTTTTGAAGGGAATGTCTTGCGAAAATTGTTTAACTGTTCTAAATTAATTCAAGGTATTAAAGAAAGTTTTGAAATTAATGTTACTTTTATCGTGGCTTCTTGTGACAAATTTTCCTTCATATATTGACTTGTCGTTTTACAATTTTAGTTATGATTTGGAGGTAGACTAGAATATTAATACTTACATATAAATTGCACTGGTATAACTGAAGTTGATAGAAGGGTGTTGCAGATTCCTGGGTCTGTCTCCTTTAAAAATAAATAAGTTTTTTCAGAATTTAATCAAATTAAGTTTTCGCAAGATTCATACACTTGACTTATTTGTCTGCCATGTATATCCACTTTGAAAGTATTACCATGATTACTTCTATTTGGTGATTTGAAGCAATGTTTAACCTTTGTAATGAGTATGAAGGACTGCACGTAACTAGTGGCATACTCGTGCTTTTCATGCTTGGGACGGTGCATTCAAGTACTAGTGGTGCTAAAGCAGTAACCCATACTTTTTCACCTGTATTTTCACACAGAATTACGCGACAAGTACTCAAATTTTCAATATGTTGTACAAGACTATTTCAAAATCTATCTGTAATGAACAGATTTCATTTTGGGTAAAAACTCCATCTTTGATATTTTAAATGTAGAAAGACTCAAAATTCGAACTTCTGCAATTTTTGAAAAATCAGTCTTTTCAACAAACCCTTAAATTTGAAACCAATATTTTAATTTTGGGGAGTACTTTACAAAAAGGCCCTGAGATTTTTTCCAAATTTAAAAAAAATGCCTCCAGCATTTTTGATTGAATATTTTGTTAGATAGCGTGAAGGGCATTTAAGAGAATGGTGAAGGTTCATTAAAAACCCTGATTTTTCAAAAATTGCAAATGTTCACAATTTTTTTGGAGTCTTCCTACAACCAAAATATTAAAGATATGTATTTTTCTCTTGGTAAAATCTATTCCTTAAATATACGTTGTGAAATAATATGATATACAATTTTTCGAAAATTTGAGTACTTTTCACTTAAATCTTCGTGACAATACAAGAGAGAAATTATGTGCTGTTTTAACATCACTAGTTTCTTGAAGTGTTAAGGAGCCAAAACGAACTGATTTTAAATGTACTGAATTACTTGTATTCCGTCTCATTCACAACCACTCGCACACAAACTGACTTCAGTGTTAAAATAAAATATTCTTTCCATGACCAATAAACTCATTAAGCAAAATAATCACGAAAAGACTGCACTGTGGACTGTACTGTATGCAGTCACTGGCGTCCGGCAGTGATGTGCAAAAGCAGTTGCGGAAGAGCAGTAGAGGGGAAACGGAATTGGTATTCTGTGCTGGGAGAGTGGCCACGATGCTCTGGCAGTCCGCAGGGGTAGGAGCTGCTTTAAATACTTGACAGCCGCATAGTCAGGAACAGCAAGTAATAGAATGTGAGGGTAGATTAAAGAAAGTTATTATTTCATTCATTAATGATCACTGAATAAAATGCATGCCATGAGCCAACACCACACAATTCATTATAATTAATAGTAGTAAGTAGTAATGACTAGAAAGTAGTAAGTAGTAGATCACATATTATCCTTGGTGATCCTAAGAGGATATTCAAAGCAGTTGGTTGCTAGCCTCTCCTTCATAATATCTATATGCCAATACCTCCTTTACAAGTTTTCTCCATCCTATTCTGCCTTGTGCAACATTCGTTGCTTATGTGTGTGTCAGGTTGGTTGATTTTTGATTTCCTCTTGCCATCTGTGTTTTTTTCTTTCCTGTTTTCAGGTTCTATTCTCCAGTAACTCGTTTCAAAGACATCTATTTTTCTCCTATCTGTCGGTCTTTAAGACCAACCTTCATGTCTGTAAAGTAAACCATTTAATAACATAACAATTGGTGGGTCAAGGGAATAAGTAAAGTTTTTGTAAAAAATGAGTATGCTAGGATATTGCGTTATTACATTACTGTCATTATGTGCAGAGGGGTAAGTGACATTTTAATTTTGTCAGTAAATGTTAATTCCAAAATTGAAATGTCAGTTATCGCCCTACACAAAATGATAGTATTGTAGTAAAGCTATATTCTGGCATCATTTTGGACAAAAACCAGACTTATCCCTTTTACATGCGCTCCTGCCAATTAATGACTGCAAAGTAGTACACAATGAATAGTAGAACACCCTTCAATACTTTAATATTGAAGTATGTTTTCATATCCAGAGTACTTTAATTTTCAATTAGGTTCTCACACCAGGATCTTGATCTTTGAGGGAAGACCCTAAAGGGGCCACAAAGTGAAATTTTTGGCTACTTGCAATTGTTGCCTCTTGTTACATCCCATGGAGTAATCCACTTTAGTTTCCAATAATTGTTGTTATTCTTTAGGCACTCATCGTTCTTGAAATCTTAAGAGCATGTGTCAGTTATCACATTTTGTGAAGTCAACAATCTACTGCAGGTCATTTACATGATTATACATTTATCTTTCACATATTTCTATAACTTGTTTTCATGTCTGTATTCCAGATCTCCAATACTTTGTTCAACATGTTTTACTAAAAGTAGCCTATATGCTTAGTGGAGTTCATTTAGAAGAATCACAAATCAAGAGAACTGATAAACAAAATCATTGTAGGAAAGACTTCTTGGTGTTGCTTACCAATTGACTATCTAACCCCTAACTCACTGAAACTGTGAAATCAAATTGTGCACTGTGAAATGTATCAAATTTCATCCCATGATGTTCTGATAACACAATTTATAGACTCCTTTAGTTTTGAATTTATTACTTATCAAGATATCCTAAAGCAAAAAAGATTCTTTTCAATGTATATCTTGCTCTTTTGAATGCATTTCCTGAACCATAAGTAATAATATACAAAAGACTGCTGTTTTTATCTGGAAATTTTAGTTGCTCAATTAGTTGTGGAGACTCAGGAAAATGGTTAGATTTTTGCTCAAATTATCTATTTTTTTCTTTGCACAATGGCAAAAACCTTAAACTATACGTATATGCTTGTTTATTATATTTATATATTATTTGAAGTTGTTTGTAACATTCTTTAATATTTTTTATACATATGCATTGTATCAATTCTTCTTCCTTGAATAGAGCTGGGTCACAAGAAACAGTGCTTGAGCAAACTACTGCTGCTCCAACAGAGGCACCAGCAGTCATTCCATCCCAAGATTCCCTCATTGGAGACCTTCTGAGCATGGACATAGGGGCCCCTGCAGTTCCTACCCAGGCTGCCTCCAATGTATTTGCTAGTCCAGCCTCGGCAGTGGATTTGCTTGGTGGTGGTTTGGATAGTTTGGTGAGTACAAATTGTCAAAAAATTGCTGGAGATATGACCAAATTAAAAAAATAGTGAATTGTTTGGATATAATATGTGAGAAGAGTTAAGTGTTTAAGTTTGTGCTGGAGAGAATTCAATTTTGAAATTGGTAAATTCAAGCTAATTTCATCAGCTGTGACTATAGGATAAAATATGAATCTGAGATTTAGGAAAGTTCTTAAGATGAAGCAGACATTGGAAAGCTGAGAATTAATGTTAATAGCTAAACTAACACTCGTATTTTACTCGTACTTTACTAAAATTTGTATTTTACAAAATTGAATAGGCCACCCTGCCAGCTACAATCAGTGATGGTCCTGCAAAGAAATCTGGTGCTAGTGGGAGTTAGCAAACTACATATTGCCACTCCATTTCCTTTTCTTACAGGGAATGAAGAATTCAGGGAGAATAAAGGAAATGTTTCAGTAGATGAGAAATAACATTAAACTACTAGTACTTTGAGAGCTTAATTTGTTGAGATGGCCCAACAAAAGGTTAGACTAGTAAGAGTAGAAAACAGTGATTCTGATCAAAAAGTGGCAATGATCTCATTTTTTTTTCAATCTATCTCTAAGTGGTAATATACATGCACTGTACTGAAGAAGGAATTATTCTGGTTGAAAAAGCTTTGTAGTAAGCAAACATTAAGAAAATAAATCTTAAAAAATCTGAGAAGTCTGATTTAGATGTAGATTTATATTCAGATATAGATTTATTTATTTTGTCACAAAAACAGTAAAACCTGTGACGTATGGGGGAGAAGATCTGTGCACGTTTTCTTGAGTTCCAGAATCCTTTCCAATCATTTTATCTATAAATAGTTGAAAGATGAGTAAAAGTTTAAAATAAATAAATAAAATAAATAAATAAATAAATAAAAAATAAATAAAAATAAATAAATAAAAAGTAAATAAAAATAAATAAATAAAAAGTAAATAAAAATAAATAAATAAATATTATTTACTTAATTAATTAATTTTAAAAAATCCCAAGATTTGCAATATTTGGAAAAAACTATACATTTTCATTTCCAAGTTATAGAAAATTTATTTGCGCCTGTAAATGAATTGCAGGTATGATTTTTCTGCATTGATAACAAAAAAGTAACTCACCCTACTCCTCCGCCATCCTCTACTCCTACCATTACAAGCTAAAGGAGAGCCTTTACAAGAGGTCTTTCAACAAAACGTGCAGATAGTGAAGCTACACTTACGTCCAGAAGCAAAACAAGGGGTCATCTCAGCATTTGCTGAATAGATCAGGGAAAGTAGACAAAAACCTGATTGAGATGGGGGGTCTTTGACCTGGAAACTGAAGCACATTATTTGTTACAAACATTGTCATTTTAAAAAAAAATATATATAAATGTAAACTAATTCAATTTATATCATTGTTTTGTTAAAATAAACATTATTTTTCTTTTTCATGATCAGTATATTGAAACAGTTACGCTGCAGAAAATATTTTACTTTTAACTTAAATGTGTACTGACTTCAATTGTTTAATGTCCTCTGGCAAAGCATTGTTAAGTAGCATACATATATTGTAAGTGGGTTTCTGGTAGTGAGCTGTCGATACAGATACTTGATCTTTCTATGACGTGTGTTGTAATTATAAATATCAGTATTGCATGAAAATATGTTCCCACTGTTTAAGTAACTTTTGTCATATCATGCCATATCTCAGGTGGGAGTGCACATTTGCAAAATATACACAAGGAACTGAATGAAGGCTGACAGAATTTGAAAGAATTCTGAGTGGTTAACATAATGAACTTAATTTAGTGTTTAATTCTGTTATATGTACATTCCATTTGAGATTTGACTGAACTGAGAGACATTGCTCATTTTCAATGGAGCATGCGATTGCTGATTTGAAAAGCAAAAATGCACTGTTTTTCCTTCGTTAACTATTAATTTGTTATTACAAAACCAATTTGAAACGTCTAAAATCTTACTATTTCTTTTTTGCAAAGAACAAAGAACATTCGTGTCATCGGCAAACGGAATGCTTTTCCATTTTTAATGTAAGAGGGCATAATGTTTACGTGTAACAGAATGAGGATAGGACCTAAGGACTTAAGTTTGGATTATCATGTCCAGATAATACTCTCCCTGTTGTATTTGGATTTTGACAATAGTAAGAACAGATATCTGAATGCTTGATTGTCTTGGATAAATATGTTAAAGTTGCTGAACTTTTCTACATCATTTAATTTTCATTGATTAAAAATTGTGATAAATAGACATGTGGGAATAAATGGAAATGTAGTGTTGAGAGCTCAAAGTGCAGGCAATTATTTTGCCCAGAATAGGCATCAAAGTGGCATTTGTTTTTAATAAAAGTAATTTAGTTTGGCAAAGTATGAATAGGCAAAAAGGAAATATTCTCATGATGTCCAAAATAGTCAAGGGCCATTCTCAAGCATGTGATGCTATTCCTTCTGGCTGTCAGTATCAGGGAAAGAAAACTAATTACCTTAATTGGTGGATTGATTTTTGCAGCTGTATTTTAAAACTTCTTGAACCTTCAGGCAGAGTTAAACACTTTCATGTGATATCTCACCTCCACTTTGTAAGATAGATAGTACCAACATTGACCACTTGGGCAGTTAGGCTTCCAGCTTCATAAAGATTGGTGCTGGGGGACAAAAGGAAAATGAGGAGGAGGAAAAATGTTTGAAACATTTAAAATAGACATGGGGAGTTAAAATAGACAAAACAAGACAAAATGAAAATGTTCAAAAACCTTTGTGGAGGCATAGGTATGATTCCTATTGTCAAACTTCTAGGCTCTAGTGATGGTCTTTACTATAACATTCACTGAGATATGTTTTGTCTGAATTGCCTATGGTGTATTAATTTTCTCTTTAACCAAGAATGATATTCTAAGCTGTTACTTGTTGGTAGTAATACTTTCAAATACAGAGATTTGACATTAATTTTGTTAAATGTCTGACTATTCTAACTTTAATTTGAGTTGGTTAATTCTCCAGAGTAGAACTAGATTTTGCCCTTAATTTCTACTTAATTTATATTTTGTAAATTGGTTCATTTAGGCACAAATGCTCAAAATACAATTACTTGTCATTGTTGCCTGTATCATTAAATAAATAAAGTAATTTTTGTATTGCATTAAACAAAATTGAAAATAATGTTGATGTTACTTGTGTGAATTGCTTTCAGCTGGGAGGTGATGTGGCTGGAAGCTCTCCTGCTCCTGTCTCCCAGTCAACCACTGGGCTACTGGGGGATATTTTTGGCTTTGCCTCCGTCCCCACTAGTTACACTCCTCCCAAAACCAATTGGCTCCCTGCTGAGAAGGGGAAAGGGCTGGACATCTGGGGCACTTTCTCAAGAAAGTAAGCACATCTATTTATTTTCAATTTAACTGACAATTTGTCCAAATGATTACGTTAAGAACTGGTAAATAACTACATCTCAATAACTCGATCTACAGTTACTCAAAGTACAATCAAATACAGTTCGTATTACATCTATATATAACTATACATGGATTATAGAAAACCAAACAGTCTAGAGCACCACGAAAATTACAGGTCTAGGAACAATAAGAAGATACTAATTTTAAGTACAGCCCACATTTGGTGGTAATATATAAAGGAACAAAACAAAAGAAAGAAGCACCATAATGAATATTTGAGGAATATTGACAAAATAAGAGTATCATAACAAATGGTAATTACTTAGTATAAGAAATCATTCAAACTTGGTTTTCTCTTCACATCATTGCTGAACACTGCGCCATTTGACAATTTTACTTAAACTTATTAGCAGCTATGCACATTCTGTTAAGAGGATTGTTAGCTGTGTATGATTGCTTATAAAACAGCTGAGCTAAAATTTTTGCTCTTCTGGTTTTAAAGTTGGGAACTTAAAACACGATGGTTTCAGCAAAAGTGAATAATCAATACAACCACTTTAAAGTTTTCACAGAAACATAATCATTATAAGATTTCAATGAAGGTATATTCAAACATGAAGCTGTGATACAATGATCATGGATTTTAAAGAGATTCTGAACCCCTGCAAGTTATGCAGAAAGTCTAAAATACTTATGTTGGACTGTTTCAACTCTAGAGATTGTTTGAAAAATAAGGTTATCAATCAAGGGAAGAGTTCATAAGTACTGGTCTAATCAAAATCAAATAAAGTGATCTCAATATTTGCAATGAGTGCACTTCATAGCATGTATGCTTACACTGCGATTTATGCAACTCTGTCCCTGGCAGGTATCAGCTGTTGACGGTTTCATCCAATCGGGAGATTGAATGTCACCATAGTGACGTTGCTATGGTAATGTTCAATCTCCTGTTTGGATAAAGGTGTCAACAGCTGATACCTGTCAGGGGCAGTGTTGCGAAAATTGCAATATAATAAAACCTAGTATCAGATTGGTCTCGGAAGTGTAATTTGATAGTGCCAGTGCACTGGGGGAGGGGGAGGGGGAAGGAAGGGGAGAGGTGCACCAGGCAAAGGGAGGGGCAAGGAGAAGATAATCTCGCTTTGGTTTCCCTTCTTATTCTTTAGAATCCTTTAAATGTAAAATGAGCTTGCTTTGCTTATTGTAGCTAGTAGTTGGAACGAAGCTGACCTTTTGTGTCTGTGATGAAAATGATGTATGTGAATCTGTTGAGTTCACATGTTCTGTAAGTCTTAGATTACTACAAATATGTGCAGCTAATCTTGTTAATCTTGAACATATACTATTTGTATCATCATTTGGCAAATTTGTCAGATTTTTCATTAACCTGGTATTTATTCTTATTGATCACTGGTAAATCTAAAATAGTTTTGAGTATGAGAGGACATACTTGTTATTCAAACATCTTTTGTTGACATTTAATGGTGTCCTGTGCTAAAAAAGGAAGTATATCATTAATATTTTAAGTACCTGTCCATCACTTCTTGCCTGAAAATAAAACTGGAAGAAACAATATTTCTTTTTCTCCCCTCTCTTAAAATGAAAAAATATATTTACAGAATCTGTCATGCTTAAGAATATATTTATTAAATCTACTATTAAGTTTATAAGAAATGCTAAGAAACTAAATTTACTTGAACGAAAATGGTGTTTAAGGTTGTATTGTGTTTGGAGCGTGGAAAACTTGGTTTTTTGAAGTTCTGTTTTTAATGACTGTATGATACTTCTCAAGTTTTCAGCATTTTTATTTTATTTAAGGATTCCTTTTCTTAATTTCCTGAGGAAAACTTTTCTTGATTTCCAAAAGCAGTTACCTTTAAGAAATTATTGAAAAAATTCATTGCAGTTGTGATTTGAAACTTTTGTTTTCAGAAATGGACAAATTCACATGGATTTGACCTTTACCAATAGGGCCATGCAGCCTATGGCAGGGTTTGCAATTCAGCTGAATAAAAACAGCTTTGGGCTGACACCAAGTTCACCACTCACTGTCATTACTCCCCTTCCTCCTAATGCGACACACGACTCCTCCTTGCCATTAGCAACAACAGGTGCTGTGCAGCGCATGGAACCTTTGAACAATTTGCAAGTAAGAATGATTATATTCATAGTGCTAGGAATATGAAGAGGGTTATACTGTTATACAATAAAACCTTGAATATGTTTTCTTTCATTTATGCTGATTTTTGCTACAGTTACTTCAATTATTCTATGTAAAATTGTCCCTGCTCTTACACTTTTAAAATTAAAATTTTCTGCCTTCAAGTTATTTTTCCTTACTGTGCTAATGCAATAAAGGTTAATGATCTTGTAAGTTTCTTCCCATTAAGCCCTAAAAATACATGCACTATTTCTAGTTCGAGAAAGTCAGAATTACACTTAATTGTCTTGAGCTAGACATATTGCTTAGTTTTATTTTTGAAATGAGGAGAAATTGTGTGTAGTCCAGTTTGTAAGCATTTTAAAAATGTTTAATGTATACCCAAAGCATCACTGGTAATATGCAACTATATAAATGTTCACTTTTCCAGTTTTGCTTTTGTTCCTTGTAATAATAATGCAGTGTGTCCAAATTTCTGCAGGGACTGCCAATTTGCTTTTGTTTTTTTTTTTTTTTTTAATTGAGAAATTTCTCAAATTTTTATTTTCTTATTTGTGGATTGTAGTCGGCACCATTATTTCTATGGTATTTCCCATTCTCTTACGTTCATATTTTCATGGTACTTATTTCTATTTGTACTTTATTTCTAAATGCAGTAACGTGTAAGATTTTTGTATACTTTTAAAAAAAGGTCATTTAATCATAAAATGATTTCAATAATAGTATTTGTATTCTAGGAAAAGATGTTCAAAACTGTGAAATTAGTTTTTTTTGAAACGCAAAGCCTAACAAACCAAATGACTTTTCATTATAGTCTAATGTTATTAATAAACAAACAGAATTAATGTTCTGTATTTTATTGTTTAAGCAAAAGTAATTTCTTACCATTTACACATTTCTGCATTTTCCACAATTTTTTCTGTTGAAAAGTAGAAAATAGGAGATGTACTGTAATAAATATTATTTTCTATTCTGTCTGCACTTTCACTACTTCCTGTAAACATCATCCATTGAATTTTTTAATGAGGGGGGGGAGGGTGATGGAATATTTTTGAATAATGTTTTTCGTGTTTTCAATTTTCTATTTTATTATAAAGAAAAATTAGGTATATTTAACCCTTATCTTCATTAGAATATGGTAGTTAGTATCAAATCTTCTTTACCTCAAACACCACAATCACAACATTAGGGAAGGTGGTTCAGGCCATTAAATGATGTCATTGTAGTGCCTCTGACCAGATTTGAGTCCTGACGGTGGCAGGAATTTAAACACTAGCTTGTCAGCTAAGTGGAATTCAGTTGCAGTCTGAAGGAGAATTCTAGCAGCCGGATGCTCAATCAGTAGTTCTGTGGTGTCCCTGATCAATACCAGGCGAATGCTGGAGCATTACCCCAACAAACGGGCCACGGACCACTCGTCATCTTTTTTGTCCCATCGTCTCCCCCTTACTTACTCTAACACTAACACATAAATATGCACTACATTATCACACATGCTGGAGACCAGTCGGGTGTTTAGATGTCTGAGCTGGGGCAGTGCTCTGCTGGTGGGAAAGACCTGGTTGGAAAAATCTCGCTAGCAGATGGTAGGTCAGCACTGGATTTCACCATCCAGTAGGAAGAGGCCACAGCCACCACAACTACTATGCTAATGGGACTAATGACTTGAGCTGTTGCCACACCTGTAATTGCCAATCAATCAATCAATCAATCAATCAATCAATCCATCAATCCATCCATCTACAGCCACAATTACCGCTACCACTGCCGCAACTTCTTGTGGACAAAGTGAATTG